ATTTCTCCTCAAACGAACAGTATGGTTTTTAATTTATTTCTTTAAGGAAATTAAGATCAACTTTCCTTGAAACCCAAAATAAAGAAATAAAACTTGGCAAAGAAAATAGTCATGGCGCGAATTGCAAATGCCAATACCATTTTTCAGTGAGCAAATAAAGCTTCCCTTTATAAGAAATCTAAATAAACCAGCCAAAAGAGAAGAACTATATATAGCATAGAGATTTATACATAATTTTAGATATCTCCTTCTTTTAAAACCATTTACTATATAGAAGACCAATGATACAATGTGATAAATGGAGCATTTTTCTATACTTGGCTTACCTTATTTACAACAATAGCTCTGATCACTTGATCTTGCAAATGCAAATTTATTAACTCACACACCATGTAGTATGATTTCTTTAAAAAAAAAAACCATGTAGTACTAAACAGAAAACAAGAGAAACTTTTACTAAAAAAAACATGTAGTGTGAAAACAAACTAACGAAAAACAAGAAGTTTTTCCTTTTTCTCAAGAAAAAATATAAAGAGAAAATTTTTACAAGTTTAGCTGCTTAAAATTTCTTATTTTCTATTTGTAAAATTTCATTCTTAAAATCGATTTTTCGGCGAATACTTAAAATAAATAGAAGACGATTATTAAACTAAAACAACTACGATGAGAAAAACAAAATCTTCAGTTCCGAATTGTACAAAAAGAATTAAAACCCTTCTTGAAAAGCATTGCATTGTATATTCCACTCAGATGAAAAACAAAATTTATTCCAACATAAAAATAACATATACAACAGAAAATGATATAGGCTTAAAAAATCAAATATGGAGGGAAATAAAAAGAAAAAAAGAAACTTAAAAGAATGAAGTTTGTTGAAGCTAAGATGCGAAATCTCCAGCACGGACTTGAATGTATCTATGGATATGAGCATGAGCAGTGTCTAAGTACGTACCTACATGCATACAATGTACATAAGTATATATACAGTCTTCATATTTTAATTTCCAAGATATATAAATAATGTATAAGTGTGAGGAAAACAGCAGGCGTTTCAACGGTGCAAAGTACACAAGTTGATCGAAATCTGCTTATATCATATACGTAATATCATAGCAATATAAATCATGCATGAATGCGTCTTGGCATTTATAAATGCGTCATTTAAACCTATATAGATGTTAGCATAAAGGTCAAACACAATATTGAAATATCTTTTAATATTTGTTGGTTAGTAATAATTATCCCATTTGACCATAGGCAATTGGTTGCATACCACTTGCAATCTTGCATGGTATATTTTATGATTTTAATACACACAAAACCGGATAAAGGATTCAAGCAACTTGTTTCGCTGTTTTTACGATGTACATGATTAAATTTCGCATAAATATTGATTAGTAAATCGTTACAGAAAAATTATCAGTTATTTAGCAATTTTCATATATATTATACTATTAGTTTTGCTTTAGAAAAAAAATATATAAAAACACTTATGGTACCTTTTTGTGTTGTTTTTTGTTTGTTTGTATTGCTGTTTGTATCGTCAACCTATTCCTTTAATAAATTTTGAACACGAAGATAATATCATATTCAAGAATCATACATGAACAACTCAAAAAGGACGATCATTTTAAACTTATACATATTTAGTAAAACGAGTTCCGACTTAATCAATTACGTTCAGGTAACTAATTTCTATTTCGTAATTCGCATATTAAATTGTCAATCTGACCGACAAAAAAAAAAGGAAAACAAAATTGTCAATCTGATATATACAAAG